TGTGGCGGCGGCGGCGAGGCCCGAGGTGGTTGCGGCGGTTGTTCGGGCGGCGGGATTACAGGGGAGGCGGCGGGATTGACAGGGGAGGCGGCGGCCCCAAACGGAACGGCGCGAAAAAGGGGGGGGGGGGGCGGCGAGGCGCCGGTGAGCGAGGCGCCCGCGCCATCAGAGGGACGCGCCGCTGCGAGATGGAGGGCGGCGGTGACGGAGGCGAGGCGCGAGGCGGCGGCGGCGGCGGCGGCGGCGGCGGCGGCGAACGCTAGGTGCGAGGCTCGGCGCTAAACGCTCGCCGAGCTCCATGCTGTGCAACACCACCTCCTCACTAATCGTCAGGGGCGCGGAGAGCGCAGTGCGCTGCGGTGAGGCTGCGCCGCGGGGGCTCGCCCCCTGCACCGCGCTCAGAGCGGCGCCGTAGGGGAGAGAGGGCGGTCGGTGGCGGCGGCGGCGAGGCGCGAGGCGGTGGCGGCGGTGGTGCGGGCGGCGGGATGACAGGGGAGGCGGCGGGATTGACAGGGGAGGCGGCGGCCACGAGCGGAGCGGCGCGAGAAGGGGGGGGGCGGCGGCGAGGCGCCGGTGAGCGAGGCGCCCGCGCCATCAGAGGGACGCGCCGCTGCGAGATGGAGGGCGGCGGTGACGGAGGCGAGGCGCGAGGCGGCGGCGGCGGCGGCGGCGGCGGCGGCGGCGGCGGAGACAACGGCGGCACCGAGTCTCGGTGAGCGGCGGCGGGAGGAGGAGCAGCGGCGGCGCTCGCTCGCTGTTGACGGGAGCGCTTTTGAGCCTGGGAGCCCATGCCACTGCGACCGGCGTGCCCGGGAACGGAGATCGCGCGCGCGCCGCCACTCACGACGCGCGCGCGATCTTCGCGGAGTCGGGTCCCCAGAGGGAAGCGGTCTTCTCGGCCGACGTCCAGCGGCGCGCAAGGAAGCAGGCGCAGCGGAGGCGGCCTGGCACCGGCTCGGCGCCGGGCGGTTGCGCTGCCCGCGAGCCGCGTCCTGAGCCTCGGCAGCGCGCTGCGCGGCGCGGCGCTCGCGTTTCTGCTGTGCCGAGAGCGGCATGATGGTTCGCCAGCTGAAGCTCGAGACTCCTCGGTCGGGTCCGCGAGTTCTGGGGGTCACGGGGATAAACGGCGGACGACGGGGGAGCAATATATCTTTAGATGCCACCCAACCACCATCACGACGCGCTCCTCTGGATGGCGCCGCTGCTGAGCGGCGGTGGCTACTCCTCCGAGAGCCTCGGCTTTGCGCTCGGCCTGCACAACCTCACCCGGCTCGATGGCGGCCTGATGGCGGGTGTCCGCCAGTTTGGCGAGCCGCAGGATGAGAGCTTCGTGGAGGGCCTGCCAAAGGCTCTGATCCCGCCGCTCCGCCACCTCTTTGGCGCGGGTGCCTCGCAGGACGCGGCGTCGGGCGTGGTCGTTTGCCACTCCACTCCCGATGCGTGGGTGTGCTGCTGCTCGCGAGAAGGAGCGGGCGGTCTGTGGCGAGTGGCTCACTCGTTTGCGGGTGTGAGCAGGTGCCGTCCAAGTTCGAGGGCTGGGACGAGCTCGAGCCCTGCCCGCCCCCGACCGCCGCCGTGTCGGTCGGTCGGACAATGTTTGAGACCGACTCTGTCCCGAGGGAGTGGGTCGAGCGGTGCAGATAGATGGAGTTCGAGTGCCGGCTAGGAGGTGCGTCTCTGCACAGCATACAGCTCCGAACAGGTGCAGCCGGATGGACGAGGTCTGGGTGCCGACACACTTCCACGCCGAGGCGTTTGCGGCGGCGGGTGTGCCGCGCGAGCGC